TGCTTCATGTGGAGCGGTGGCTTGGTCCCTGGGCTTCTTGCTGGAGATGTATCTCCAGCTAACCGACTCTTGAAGCTGTATACTCATATCTCTTTACAAAATCTGGAGACAGCTGGGCTGTGAGAGTGCATACTTGTAACATAAACACTCAGGAAATGAAGGCAAGAAGGTCAGAAGTTGAAAGTCTTCCTAGCTATGTATCAAGTTTAAGGCCGGCCTGAGCTACATGAGACTCTGACTCAAAAGAAACAAAATCAAAACCAACCAACCAACCAACCAAACAGACAAACAGAAAACCAAAACACTGAGACAATGTCTAATGTTCATATGAAAACCTGGAGTGGGAAAATGGATGGTCATGAGGGAGATACTAAGGTTCTCCATTGCTCGCCAACCTTTGTGGTCAAGGTATTTCCTGTTAACATGTTTTTGATGAGAAGGTGCTGAACAGATTCCCGAACCCTTCACAGTCAGAAGCGTTCACAATCTTACTTCAGTCCCACGTTCCTAGGCGTTTTACTTCAATGTGTAATTTTCGTTTTCATTTTTTCTTTTCCATCAGTGTTTCCTAAATATGTAGACTCCATGTCTTTGAGCGGGAATGCCCACCCAGGGTCCTTGCCAGGTCCTCTCTGTCTCAGTTCTGTTCATCCTTGAGATGGCGGCATCGTTCTCCAGCCACCCTACTCCATAGTGTGCTTGCCTTGCTGGGAATGCCCAACATTTGTTGTCGTTGTCAGAGTTAACTTGGAACCTTAACAGCATTACTTCCTTGTGTTGTTGTTGAACCATTTCTCATGTTGAAGTAGTCTCTCCCACGGGACTTGACGGTCCACTAAAGGTAAGAGTGTCACATACAACCTTGCATTCTCCCAAAGGACCTAGCGTAGGCAGACAGCAGAAAACTGTTATAAACTGTCCCCAGAAGTTCTACTTTGGATTTAGGACAGTCATATCCTGGAGTGGAAGATCCCCACCCAAGAAAGATGCATCAGTTTCCTAGCAGCCACAAGATTCAGACCTGGGGAAAGGGAGTGTTTAAGATCACATCTCAGTATGATGTAATCATCCCAGCCGATGACTAACAACCGAGGGCCCAAGGCATCTTGATGCCCTCAGCTTGGGTGATGTGGATCTAGACACACATCTGCTAGACTTACACATGTCTGTCTTCAGGTCCACATCCCTCCGGCCAGAGCAGCAGCCATGAGAAGCGTAGCAGTGGAACAGAAAGAGTGCTTTAGAAGCATGCAAAATGCACCTTTCCTAAAAAGCAATAAAGAGGAGGAGCCGAGTAAAGGGCGCCCAGGGACTTTTGTACTGTTTTTACTACTTTTTGGTGTGTCTGAAATAATGTCAAGCATTTTTAAAAACTGTGAATCAGAAATAATAAGAAAGTGTCTTTCCTATCATCTCCTTCTTACCTGCCCCAGCCTTCATAAAGAATTCACTTTTCAACACATTCACATGCAATTTACAGTTGTGGATATACCTTACTAGATAAGTGGTTAAACATGAAAACTTTGCTTGCCATGGTGCCATATGCCTTTAACCCCAGCACTCTGGAGGCAAATGCAGGGGCTGTCTAGGAATTTGAGGCCAGCCTGGACTACATTGTGAGTTCCAGGCCAACTAAAGCTATCATCTAGTCAGACCGTGTCTCAGACACCACCACCAGAATCAAAGAAACCTTTTAAATATTTCATAATGTCCATGGCTCCATGGCTCCAGTTACCACCGAAGGCCATATAAATGCCCAGGGTCTGGTCAGCCATCAGAGACTATGTTGGTGTCTGAGGGCCATACTGCCACCAGAGCCATACTGATTTAAGTGGCCTGTGCTGCCACCCTGGGCCATGGTGACATCGGGGCCCCAAGCTGCAGCCAAGAGCCAAGTCTGGGTCCATGACCCTACAACAGCAAGGGTCTCTGTTGATGTCCATGGCTGCTGTTACCATCAAAGGTCATGTGGATGCCCAGGTCCTGGGCTGCCACCTGGGGCCATGTTGGTGTCCGAGGGCCAGACTGCCACTGGGGCCATTCCAATCTAAGTGGACTGTGCTGCCACCTGGGGCCATGGTGACATCTATGCCTGAGCTGCTGCCCAGGGTCATGTCTGGGTCCATGGTTCTACAGAAGCCAGGGTCTCAGTTGATGTCCATGGCTCCTGTTATCCCCAAGGGATGTGTAGATACCTGAGGTCTGGTCAGCCACCTGAGACCACATTGGTGTCCTAGAGCCATGCTGCTTCCGGGACCATACTGATCTTGGTGGTCTGCACTGCCACAGGGGCCATGGTGGCATCCGGGCCCATCTGCTGCTGAAGATCCATGGTTCTCCTGCAGCTGGGGTCTGTGTTGATCTCCGTGGCCCACATTACCACAGGGGACCATAGGAACCATGCGTGTTAAAATCTGAGGGCTGTTCTGAGCCGGCACCACACTTTGCTGGCCCTGGAAAAGTTGGTCTTGCCCCTCACTGGCCACTGCAGCAGAAGAGATTACTCTGCCCCTCACAGGAGAGCTGGCCCCACACTCAGGAGAGATGGCCCCACCTCTCACCACAGGCATGGGAGAGCTGGCCCTGATGGCATGGGGGTAGAAGAGCTGACTCTTCCCCTTGGCAGAGGTAGACAGTCCCAGTGGCCCCAGACTGACGAAATCAGTGACCACCCAGACCCAGATCCAGGGCCCACTGAAACATCTACCCCATCTATGACCTGCTGGAATGTGTGAAGGGACCGGTCCTGCAGAACCATAGCCACAGGCTCTCCATGACTCAGGACAACAGACATCTGAATAGAGTTTCGGTGAGGGTCCAGTATTGATGGTGTGCCAGAAGCCAGAGCGTTGAACCAGACCAACAACTCACTGCAATGAACATTTGCAAGTAAAGCTGAGTGGACCAAAGAGTCTATCGCGTGACACACCGCAGCTCCTGATGCCACTAAGATGAGTGAAGAAATGTTAAAGAGGTGGGAAAGATGGAGAGGTGAAGCGGGTCTTTTTGTTTGTTTTGGTTTGGTTTTAATTTTTTAAATTTTCTTTTTGTGGGGGCGCTATGGAGGGGTGAGGGGTAGCTATGGAGGGACAAGGAAATGAGTGGTATTGGGGTGCATGATGTGAAATTCCCAAAGAATCAATAAAAAATTGTTAGAAAAGTAATATAAGTTATCGATTATTGGAATGGAGGGGTTTTAGCATTTTCCAAGCTAGGGGTGAATATTTTATCCTCCTAAGATATGGTTTTCTAACCTCTAAAACAGAGTAAGAATGTCCACGCATGGAGCCTGGCCTGGACTCTCAGGACAGAATGTGGGGAAGGAGAAGAAGGGGGTGGGGTCAGGGGGAAGGAAGGCTTGGGGCTAATATCCCAAAACCCCAAGAAGAGCCCAGGCTTTTGACAACATTTTTAAGTAAGTTGTGCAGTCTCTCCTGGACTCTGCTTTCCTCATCTGTGAAATGGGGCTGACTTTCAGTACAACTGCAAAGAGCTAAGCCGGTCCTAGGGGCCTAAGGGAGCCAGAAAGGAGGGATGGAAAAGGGGGCAGCCTGGCAGCCCCCAGCAGGGCCTGCCGATTGCTCAGCTGAGTGCTGCTTAGGCTCTGGCCCCGTGGTGGAACTGAAGGGGAGTGGCGGCACCCTCAGCCAGTTCTCCAGGGACATGAATGGGCTGGAACTAGAGCGAACTGGTCTAGGGTGAGGGGAGCCGCAGCCCCCTCCACCCTTTCCTTCTCCGGTCCTTTCTCACAGGAGGCTCAGTAGCAAGAGGGACTCCAGGCTTTTCTCCGTGTGCACACCAGTCCCTCGCCCTCTGCCCACCTCCTGTGCAGTGATCCTGGGACAGGAAAGGGAGACTTACTCAATGCAATCTCATTGGGAAGAGAGAGGGACAGAGCCACGGTGGCACTCCGCCCCAGTCCATCTTCTGTGTTCTGGAGCTGATACTTAAACAGAGCCTGAGTTGTTCACATCTAAGCAGTTCCCATGGAGGTGTGGGCCTGCCCATCACTGAGTTTCTGTCTCTAGTCAGGTGGTCTGACAAATTGCAAATTCCTTTCCAGGAGAAAAGTTTTCTCTCTGGCTGTCCTAGGCATTAGACTTTTTCTTCTCCCAACATGAAATTCCTGGGGGAATTCCAGCTTTTGGGATCCGTTGTTTTAATAGCCTGCCCACCAGTTTGCAGGATTCACGTGTCTATCATTTCTTTATCCCTGCAAGGCTGGTTACACCTAACTCAGGCTGGCTGGGAAACTCACTAAATAGCCCAGGGTGGATGTGAGCTCTTGGCTATCCTCCTGCCTCAGCCTCCTAAGTGCTAGGATATAGGTCTGCATCACCACGCTGCTTCTTAAAGCACCACCCTTTCCTTGAACCCCACATCCCCACTTCTCTGGGAGAGTGGCTGGTTTAGTCCTGTGCAGACTTAACAGCAGGTGACTGTAAATAGCAAAGACAGGGAGCAAACATAAAGGCCATTATGTGGCAGCAAAGGGTCCAAACAGGAAGGCCAGAAAAACTGTTTTAATGACCCAGTATTGCACAAGCCCACTATTTACATGGTGACCCTGGTGACTTCACACCAACCTAACCAGACCTGGGAGGGACAGGAGAGGAGAAATGAGAGGCTGGGGAAACCTGAAGGGAGAGGACGGGGAAGGAGGAAACTGGGAGAAGCAAGAATGTGAACAAAACCTGGTGTGGTGGTGCACTCAGAGGCTGATAGATCTTTCTTAGCTTTGTGAGTTCGAGGCCAGCCTGGTCTACATAGATAGACTTCCAGGCCAACAAAGAGCTATATAGCCTTGTCTCCCCCCACCTCCCGCCCCGCCCCCCGCCCAAAATGTAAATGTGTGTGGTGTGTGTGTATGTGTGTGTGAGAGAGAGAGAGGGAGGGAGGGAGGGAAGGAGGGAGGGAGAGAGAGAGAGAGAGAGAGAGAGAGAGAGAGAGAGAGAGAGAGAGAGAGAGAGAGAGAGAGAGAGAGAGAGAGAGAATAGAGCATTGTGAGGGAGAAAAATATACAAAAGAGTAGAGAGATCTAGGAGAGAAAAGACAGAATTGAGAAGGCCGCATCCACCGGCTCTTGGCCGAACTGCTGCAGCTTCTCTCCTATACCGCATCAATTGGCACCGAGCGCCCCCCTCGATCACCCCGGGCCGCGGCCCTCCCTCCCGGGTGGGAGGTAAAGCAGCCCCAGCAGCTAACCCCAAACGCAGAGAGGGAGGGCGGGAGCGAAGGGAAGGGAGGGCGAGGGGAGGGATGGAGGGAGGGGCTGCGGTAGGAGGCAGCCGTGTGGTTCCAGCTCAATTTTTTTTCTCTTTCTCCAGTCGGTTTTCTTTCCAAACAGGGAAAAGTGTTCCACGAAGCGGTAGCGCCTTGCCGCCTCGCCTTCTCCTCCCTGACCCGGGGCCCAGCCCCCGTCCGGGCGCCAGCTGGTGGAGCCAGGGCTAGAAGCCTTCCGTGCCCCGGGAGCGCAGAGCGCAAGGGACCCGGGCGCGGGGCCGGCGCCCGCACATGGCTGCAGCCCCCCGCGCGCACCCCGAGGCGCCGCGCCCTGCTAGCAGAAGGTCCGTCGGCTGCGCTCGGTCTCCCTGCAGCCGGGCAGCGCTGAGCCGGGAAGCGCCCGTGTCCGGGGATCGGGATGTCCCTCTTCTTCCTCTGGCTAGGTGAGTGCCTTGGGGAGGGCGGGAGTTTGGATGGCCCTGGGCAAACGCCACCCTGCGTTTGGGTGGAGACCCGCCTTCAGCACCGTGGTCCCTGCAGTCCCGGAGTGCCGCAACCACTCGGTCCCTGCCTCCGCGCCACCGAGGGGCGCATCTGGCAGCGGAGGACCGCCCAGTCGGCCATCGAAATGTCTCACACATCTGGGCCCTCCAGCCAGCTACGGGGTGGGGGCGTTTCCTGGTGGAGTTTGGCGGAGAACCGTTTGGTGTGGAGGGTACTTTTCAGCGCGTGGTTTGGTTTCAGGAGTACCAGGGGAAAGTGGAGAGCTGGGGAGGAAAGGTTCATCCAGGGTTTTCTGTGCCAGGTTTTGAGGGTGGGGGGAGCTTTTTGTTTCAAACAGGCGCCTCTGAGCGCTCAGATTAGAAACAGATGTGTTGAAGGGGAAGAGGGAAGGAGAGGGAGGAGAGAAGGAAGGAGAAAAGGGTAGAGAGGGAAACAGGGCAGGGTGCAAGAAGCACCAAGAAGCCAGGTGGCCCCAGGAGATGCAGGCTGAATGCGACCCCAGGAAGGAGAGAAAGGAAAGGCCAGAGAAGCAGAGAAAACGGAGGACAGGAATGTGAAGTCGAGCCTGGGCGAAGGGAGCCTGGAGTCCTTGAAACCGATGCAGCAAAGGAGGCGACCGAGGGAAAGAGCAGACTCTGCCCCCTCCTGAACCTGGCTCCGGGGCAGAAAGAGCCTGGCTGGGTGGTCTTTGCTTAGGCGGTGGCTACCAGGCGGGTCTCCTGAGGCAGGGATGCCCTAAGTCACAGGCTGGCATGCCTGGGCTGGACTCAGGCAGCTTTGGGGGCCAGGGCACAGAAGGGACTTGTGGAAAGAGCTGGAGGGGGTCTATGAACCTGCGAGGGACCAGGCCGGGAAGATAGCAGGACAAGTGACCGAAGTCCAGGCGTGTGTCAGGAAGTGAGGATCTTGTCCACCTGGAGTTCAAACCCAAAGTTAGCAGGAGTTCAGAAATCCGAAGAGTAGGCCAGGTGTGCCGGACCCCAGGGTGGAGGGGAACTAACAGTGGGCCTGAACTGACTAGCCAGGTGACCCTGGGCAGCTTACTACATAGGGCTTTGTTTCCTTAGCTCTCCCCCAAGAAAACGAGATGGTTTTTTAGGGTGTTTCCAAGCTCCAGGGCCAGTATCTCCGGGAGTTGGACGGAGGCTGGAGCCCAGAAGAGCCAGCAGAGGTGAGGGAGATCTAGAGAGCCACCTGGCATGGTGAGCAGAGCTTACCGCATTCTCTGAAAACTTACACACTGGTTGGCGTGCCCATGTACCGCCCCCAGGCTGGGCGCGCTAAGGTATAGGCAGAGGAGAGCTGAGACCCGAGGAGGAGAGGGGAGGGGCCCTTCTCTAAGCTCTCTGAGACATTGGCCAATTGTTGCAGCACAGCTGGCATAGCTAGATGGCACCTTTGTCAGCCTTCCAGAGGCACACCTCTAAGCTACCAACCCTCAGAGGTGCAGAAGGGTCAAACTCATTGTTGCCTTATGAGAGCCAACTTACCATTCGAGTCCTTTATATCCTGAGCACTTTACTGTGGGTGATTTCTGTTAATGCCTCTGTTCTCCACGCCAGCCCTACTGGATACGCGATAGGCCTAAACTCATATTGCAGACGAAATCAAGGTGTACGGAGGTCCGGTTAACTCCGTCAGAGCCACAAGCTCATAATGGGCAGAGGTGGGATTTGAAAGCAGGCTGTGCGTGGCGTGCCACGCAAAGTGAAGAGGGACGTGGTTCAAGTGGCTGGAGGCAGCTGAGGAAGGAGGGTCTGACTGAGACAGAGATCCGAGGATATGACGACCTATTTACTGTTTCTTCTTTATTTGCTTTTAAATCTTACTTTAGATTACTTATTGTGTGTGTATGAGTGTTTTGCCTGCATGTGTACGTGTGTACCATGTATGTACCTGGTGCCCATGGAGGTCAGAAGAGGGCATCGGATCCCCTGGAGCTGGAGTTATGTGAGCTGCCGCATGGGTGCTGGGAACCCAGCCCAGACCTCTGCAAGAGCAACAAGTGCTCTCAGCCTCTGGGCCATTCCTCCGGTCTTTGTTCCTTCTTTGTTGAGCTCTTACTAGGTGTGATCACATCTTTAGTGAGGAAAATAAGCTGCTGAGCTGATTCCCCACTGGACTTCTTTCTTAAGTTCATCTTGCACAGTAAAGGCCAGGGAGAAGAGAAAGGAGGAAGACTGACTTGGAATTCTCACAACCGAATTTTCTTCTATACCTGCTCTTTGCCTCATCTGGCTATTAGCAAATTCAGACACAGGATGTCCTGGATCTAAGTTGCTTAAACTATTCAGGTCAGAGACAGGCATCCAAAGGGAGCAATTTGAAGGGAACCCCTCTCCAAATGACCTCAGGGGCACAGAAGGAAAGCAGTTGCGCTGGATGGATCCGCCCCGCTTTGCAAAATGGCTTTGAGCCTGGGGATGTGGAGGACTCTTCACCAAAGCCAAAATTAAAATCCAGACTTGCCTGGGAAAAATAAAACACCTCTCTTATTCTACTGGTTCTTTAAAGGGGGGGGGGGGTCATGCTGTTTCCTCTCGTGGGTGGCTGTATTAGAATCTCTTTTGTAGAAAATGCACAGAAAAGCAGGAGAGCTGGGCGGGATGGGAGACTTTAATAGTCTGAGCAAGGGTGGGCCAGTTGAATTCTTGCTTTCTTTGAACCCGCTAGTGAGTGAGGCCAGGTACCCCACCTCTTTGATGTGAACATGGGAACAGGCAGTAATCTCTAAGGAGTGGAGAAGAGAGGCCCTGGCCCCTCCGATACCATTCCGAGCCATCCCTTGCTATTCAAGTCTGGTTTGTTTTGGTTTTTCCCCCTTAATGTGTCGCCTGGCTTTCTTGTAATAGTGGTCATGTTTGGATCCCACGTGATCCACACCTCCCATCCTACACTCTGCTGTCTTGTTGGGTAGCCAATAGGAAGCAAAGAGTCTGGATCGGGAAGTGGCGAGCTCTCTGGGTTCTGGCTCCATCCCTCTTGTGTGTAAAAAGGGGGTGGGGTGGAGGGTCTCTAATTCAATTGTTTTTCTATGATTCTCTGACCTTTTGTTGCCTCCTAAGTCTTTAGTAGTTCTCATTCATTTTTCTTCTTTGTCATTTTAAAAACTTAACTTTTAGGTTAGCATGTAAAAATGTAAAGGAGCCATTGTGGTTGCATGCTTGTGCGCGCTCTCTCTCTCTCTCTCTCTCTCTCTCTCTCTCTCTGTGTGTGTGTGTGTGTGTGTGTGTGTGTGTGTGTGTGTGTATACGCACTGCTGGGAATGGAACCTAGAGTGTGCTAGGCAGGCTCTCTTCCTACTGAGCTACATCCTTAGCCCAGTACCCAGTGCTTTTAATGCTGAGTACAAACACTTCATTCAGAGAGGACAGGGGAGGAGCTGGGTTCTCCAGCAAGGAACTTGAGGAAGGCTCGCATGCATGTAAGCCTTCATGGGTGTGTAGTGCAATGGCAGATCTGAGTGGGACCACATGTCTTTTCCCTCATCTTCCTGCATTAGTGGTGATGGCCACAATAGCATTATGATCCCAGTGGACTCGTGTCTTGTCCTAACTTATTTATGTCTTCTGCTCAGCTGTGCAACACATGGATGGATGGATTCCATCAAAGTACCTAATGATGGTGAACTATTGGACAGATGTCTTAAAACAGAGACACAACGATTGTCACAGCTGGGGTGGGGGGGTCTAAGCTACTACCCAAATCCCTGATTCTTAAAAGTTTGAACTCAGGCTGGGTAGTGGTGGTGTACACCTTTAATCCCAGCACTTGGGAGGAAGAGGCAGGCAGATCTCTGTGAGTTCGAGACCAGCCTGGTCTACAGAGGGAGATCCAGGATAGGCTCCAAAGCTACACAAAGAAACCCTGTCTCAAAAAAAACGAAAACAAAGTTTGAACTCAGACCCCTCAGAGAATCTAAGAAAACCATTTCTTAGAGCAGCATTCTCAATCTGTGGGTCATGACCCCTTTGTATCCCACATATCAGATATTTACATTACGAATCATAACAGTAGCCAAATTACAGTTACATAGTAGAAACAAAAATAATGTTATGGTTGGGGGTCACCACAGCATGAGGACCTGTATTAAGGGGGTGCATCATTAGGAAGGTTGAGAACCGCTGTCTTAGAGGAAGATAACATGTACATACATCAGATTTTCCAATGATCTCCAGGGGTTCGTTGACTTCCGGGGAGCCTTCCTTGGAATCCAAATTCCTCCTTTATCTAAATCTACCTGGTCTTTTATGATGAAGAGGGGACCGAAGTTCAGAGAGAGTTGGCTAAGGTTACCCAGCTAGCTCAGTAGAAGAGGCAGCACCAGCACCCAGACACCATGATGTGTCCTGTCACAGGTCTGCGAGGTAGAAAATGTCTTTCCTTCCCTTTCCTCTTGTGCCGTTAAGCTTCAAGATCGCAGTTGACCTCCCAGTGTCTCCGTCAGATGAGCTAAATGCTGAGTAATTGGCATGGTTTTTTTGGGTTGAGAAATTGCTTGAAAAATAGGGCAGATGTCGAAACATTTCAATTTAGCCGTCATAACTGGAGTCTTGGAAACTTTAAGTGTCGTGTTTGATGTGTTCAGAAAAGGAAGAATTCATGTCCGAAGTTCCAAACATGTGGTTGTATGCACACAAGGAACAGGAAGGGATGTCAGTGGCTCCATTTCTTCTTAAGTTCACTGTGTTATTCCAGGCTTGTTTTACACACACACACACACACACACACACACACACACACACACACACACACATGTCTATCAGTTTCCTCCTCACATTCCTCTAAAACAAAAACGTTAGACTCAGCTCATCCCTGGGTTTTCATGCAGGACTATCCCCTACTGTTCTCTGAGGTTTTTAATTCTGGAAAGGATGTGGCTTTACCACCACACTTGCTTGGCTTTTTGTTTTGTTCTCAGGTACTGCCCGTGTGTAGC